CCCAGAAAGCCCGTACACGGAGGCGGCGCACCTGACTGATTAGGGGTCCGACACATGACAGCCGCCCCCAACGGCCACCTGCCACCGCCATCTCAAACGTGGCAGGGACGGCCCTGACAAGGAACAATGGAGGTTATGACACCCGAACAGGCAACTGGCAGTGGAGGTTATGACACCCGATTTGGCAACTGGCAACTGGCAGTAGAGGTTATGACACCCGAAATGACCCCCGATCTAGTAGAAGAAGTGACCCGATCTGGCAGAGGTAATGACACCCGAACTGACAAGGGTTCAGAAGTAAGTATACAAGGTGACTATAAAGGCCCCCATCTCATGGGGAAGAAGGTATGCGATTCTTGCGCTTCCTGATCTTAGAATTTCTCACTTTCCTTGCCTTCTAAAGAGCACTAACTTGAGCTTCGGAGTGTTCCAACCGGGTTCCTCCCCGGAGGTCTCCATTTTCTTCCTTGTTTCAGGCACCTCCGATCTTGTCAGAAATGAGGTAACCGGCAGCTATGACCGACCGGATTGCGCACCATCATTAACCGATAAGCCCTAGTAACATTCTCCCTCTGTGAATTGGTTTCTACAACCTCATCCAATATTTCCTTACCTGTATTTGCCCATAAAAAAATTTTACTTATATGGGGCAACATGGAATTACACAACCAAGTCATCACCATATAATCCTCTAGTACCCATCGGGAGCTGCTAGTTTCGGGTTTCACTTCTTCACCAATGATATACCCTAATTTCCCACGGGCACCAATGGCCATCTTTGAAAATTGTGACCATTCTAATTAATTTGCACCATTCAACCTAACTATAGTAATGGTCCCAGTCCCGAAAAGGTCTCCAACACCTCCTTCCACTCGTCCCATTTCACTCCCAGGCTTATTTTCAACTCTGTGACCCTCCATGCTTCTCAAAAAATGTAAAAAAAAAATAACTGAAATATGCAACAAGATCAAACGAAACACTTCTGGAACCAACAACACCTTTCGGGTGCTCTAGACTATCTTCCCATAAAAGATTCATTTTCTATGGGACGAAAGAAGAGAGAGAAGAGACAACCGCTCTCTCTAGAAGCCTCCAAATCATGCAAGACTTGAACCACCCCTTACAGAAAACTCCAAGGAACCCTAAAAAATTAAGGCGCCACTTCCTAGGTCAAAATTGAAGAGTCCAACAGAAACAGAACTCTTCCTCTTTCTCTAATTTTTCCTGATTTTGATGAGAAACCCTAGACCAGCTACAGGGCACACAGATCCACCAAAAAATCCAAAAACTAGGTTTACCTAAGAACTTCGATCAGCCTCTTAAATCACCATGCAGGCAACCGATCTAGCACTGCATGAGGAAACAACTCAAGGAACCTTCGGCCTGCTCTAATACCAAGTAGAAATCACTGGTTGTAGATTTAGTCGAATTTCTTGTGAACGGAAAGAAGAGGAAGATAAAGATTTCAATAGTAGAGAAGAAAAGATAAGGAGAAAAGAATAGGAGGTCAACCAGGATTCTTTAATTTACCCTAACCGCCAACCCCTCGTTATATTTATACTTAACTTAAATGATGAAATATTACAAGGATGCCCTTAGTAGGGCGGCTACTATTGTAACTGAACAGTCACAACTTAAAAACATAAACTAATGGGCCTAAAGCCCAACAACTTCCTAACTAAATAAATTAAAATAAAAATAAAAAACAACTAGGCGCAACTCAACACATTTTTAGTCTTTTATCACAAAAAATGTCCTTTTGTCTAATTTATTTCAACAATTTAATATGGATTGCCATCCAAGACTTACCACTGAAGATCAGAGGTTTTCCTTTAATACCAAAAAGGGTCCTGTACACATTTGTATTTGCACTCTTTTTTCCCAAACTGAGCTTAATCAAAATTTGGATGTTTGATTCCCTCATATCTGACTCAACCCATTGCAGCACTACTGGAATGCACAGGCCTAAACCCTTGGCATCTCTGGAAATTGCTAGAAGAGCGAGCTATCCAAATTTTGACCATCCAAAAGCGACGTTCAAAATATCGATACTGCTTTTTGTTGTGTTCTGTTTTCCTCATCTGGGGGGCCAGTTTAGGACGACTCCACTCCCTGAACTGGTCAGACCCCGAATACACCCACTGTAGAGGAGTATTGGAAGGGTCCCAGTATGGACGATATAGGCCGATACGTGTCGATACTTTCAACCTTGTCCCAAAGTGAGACAAATACATAGAAAACATTAAGACAACACTCAATGACATGCACCAGGCATATAAATTTTGGATTTTGCCTAGAGATGCTGTTTGGAATAAATTTTAATCACATTTAATTTTCCCAAATGTAGGTCCAATACACAAGTGGAGATGCAAAATCAATACAAAGTCTACTAACCCTTGCAGATTTGAGTTTTAAATTACAATCAAAGGAAAACCAGATATTGTTAGCATCACTAGATCTGGTTTGCGTGGTTGGGGAAGCCATTCTAATTTCCGATAAACATAATACTATCCCATTTCTAATCATAATTTGTAACAAGATAAATTTACAACTTTAGATGTACAAAATCTAAATATGACTGTTAAGATCTGCTGGCTGATTTTTTTGGCAGTTGTAGGACTAACGAGAAGCCTTTCCACTCGCATGAAGAGACAATTCAGAGCATGCTTACTCTTTATTTCGTGATGAACGATCCTTCCTCTGTCCACCAAGAATACGGGATATCTGGAGACCTCTGCTGAACGCTTGGTTGAACAGCATTCGTGTTTGAAATTCTGAAACAAATGGGAACCAAGCCAGAAATGCAACAGGAATGAAAAGAAGCAAACCCATAACAATTTCATAAGCACGAGCAAGTGTTCGAACTGATCCCCAGAAACCAGCATTTTGGACAAGTGGTTTAAGAGCTTGGGCAATCTGTAAAACAATGAAGGAAAATATGTTTAACCAAAAAAGGCAAAGGACGATGAAGGACCACAAGCTTTGGTTACAAGGCAATTCCAACACACAAGCACAAAAAATAAACAGGATGCCGAAATGATTTACGTACCAGAAGCAATCCCCAACCACTTGGCATGAATGCAAGAAAGCAGACTATAATGTCCTTCACGGTCATGTGGGGAAGTGCTATCAATGTGATCAGAACAGAAACAAATGTCAAGAAAATGAGTCCCTTGATTAGCCGAAATACGAGCTGAAAATTTGCACTGAATTTACGCCTTCCAACTGAAACAGTCTGCAAAAAAGACATATCCTTCAAGACCTTGATAAGCATCCATTACATATTAGTGGATAACCATAAAATACAAGAAAAAGTTTCCGGTGCAAAACCAAGGTCATCCAACTAACAGCAACCAAGGTGCAAAGTAATGGAAATGCATAGATGCATATAGATGCATTGAGATGACTCAAGTTTCAAAAGCTTCACCAATAACACTGGACTAGGTCTAAGATCACTATAAAAGAGGTACGTAAATATTAAAAAAAATTAAAAAACACGTACTTTAACAGTTTATGTGGACTACGACCGGCAATTAGAATAACTAAGATGTATATGTGTATCTGAGTTCTGAGAAAAGCAATGTACTTATTGTTTTTGTAGAGTTGTAGAGCAATAATATATTATTTATGTTGCTGTTAGCATATTATTAGTGTCATTAAGTAGGTTATTTCAGTTAGTTTTCAGCTGCTGTTTATTTACGTTAACAGTAGGGGCAATATGTTTTTGACCCACACTCTTTTCTGAATTCTCGTCTCTCTCTCTCTCTCCTATTCCCTGAATTTTTTTCTTACTGAGTTCACATCTAGAGTAGGACTGATTACAGTCTCGACAAATTGGTATCAGAGCCAACCTAGGGTTTCTCATGTGAGTCTAATCAGGCTGATTGCATGAGAACTTCCTAGGGTACGAAATTTTAGGAAGATTGGTCCATCAGCTGATTCTTGGATATTACTGGTAGAGTGCAGCAGTTTTCAAGGAATTGTAGGGCCTTGGAAGGTGTCCGGTGATCAGGAAGAATCTGGGGGAAGGAACGAATTCAAGATTAGTAGGATTCAAACTGAGGATTGGAAGTGATCTGGAAGGAGCAGCTGGGTTTTTTTTCTGATTACTCTGGATTTTTTTAGGGTTTTCCCAAACCCACGATCAGTTCTCTAATTTAAACCCTAGTATTCTGACTGTTATTAGTCTCTGGGTAACAGTTAGATCTGTTTTAGCATTTTAGGTTGATTGATAATAATCTTTGGGAGATTATTAGGTCTGTTTCAACATTTCTGGATGTTTCCTAGACCTTTTTCAGCTTTCCAAGTGGGCTGTTTGCAATTTCTGGGTGATAATTTCTTCAGTTTCAACATAAAGGCTCAAGGGAAAGGTGTTTCGGGGGATGGAAACATGACGGAAAATACTTTTCAAATTACCACTGTCAAATTTGATAGATCAAATTACTTGGAATGGGCTGAGTCAGATATGATGGCTATTGGGGGTAGAGGGAAATTGGGCTATGTGATGGGGGATGTAAAGAAACCCCAAGGAAGACACGTTATATGCCAAATGGGTTCAGGATAAATTTTTTGTCATGACTTGGTTGTGCAATTAGATGCAGCCTCATGCCAGCCGAAATTACTTGCGGGCCAAAACCGATAAGGAAATTTGAGATATCATAAGAGAAATATACTCCCAGCCACTTAATGTTGCTAGGACCTATGAGTTGAAATCTGAAGTCAATAATCTTAAGCAAAGAGAAACCAATCTCAGATTACTTCTGTACTTTGAAATCTTTGTGGCATGAAATTGATCACTTAGAGACAATTGAGTGAGAAAGTCAGAATGATGCACAAGCATACAGAAAACAGGTTAAAACCAATAGGGTTTTTGGATTCCTAGTTGGTCTGAAATCAGAATATGATATTGTGAGGCAACAACCAATCACCAGAGAGAATGTGACCTTGTCTCGGGCCTATTCCTTGGTGCACAATGAAAAAAGCAGGAGAAAGGTTATGTTACAATATCAGCCTATGGAATCAACCCTAACAACAGTGAAACCAAAGTTTGGAGGTGATAAGCAAAGGGATATGAAGAAAGAAGATAGATCTACGGCAAATGGTGTGGGTAGGGTGTGTTGATTACAAGAGAACCACCTCTGGATATTGGGCTTTTGTAGGAGGAAATCTTGTCTCTTATATAAGTAAGAAACAAAATGTTGTTGCTCGTTCCAGTGCTGAAACTGAATATAGATCTATGGCAAATGGTGTGGCCGAAGTATTATGGTTGAAATTCCTATTCGAGGATCTAGGCATTGCTTATGAAAAACCCCCAATACTGTATTGTGATAATCAAGTTGTTATTAACATTGCCCATAATCCACTTCAACATGACAGAACTAAGCATATTGAAGTGTATTTACACTTTATCAGAGAGAGGATTGCACCTCAAGAAGTGTCTTCTATATATTGGGAATGATTGATATGCACATAGTGAATCCACTTCAATAACAGCTTGATTATCACTAAGACAGTCTGGATTGATATGTAAGCCCAAAGACCAAGTTGGAGACAAATTTACGCAAGTTGGGCTGGCTGATCTCTTCACTTAGGCAACACAGAAGCGTGCTGATCTCTTCACTAAGGCAGTCCTAAAGACAAAGTTGGAGACAAATTTACACAAGTTGGGAATGACTGATATGTACACCCAACATTGGATGGTGGCCAAAGCTTGTAAGTTGGGATGAATGATATGCACATAGTGAATTGTCCAATTCCATATAAGATTTTGACAACATTGGATGGTGGCCAAAGCTGTTCTGGATTCTGGTTGCAGATCGATTTTTAAAACATTAGAATATAGTGAGTCAATGGCATACAAGAGAAAAAGAAAGTTAATTAGAGGCAAATTTGAATGTGAATCAATGACTAAAATACAAGAGTTAATGGGAGAGGGCAGTCCAATGCACAAGGCTCCTACCAATGTGGGGTCTGGGGAGGGACAGATGTACACAGTCTTACTGCTGCACATAAAGAGATACTGTTTCCAATATATGAGCAATATTTTAGAACGCAAGAGGCATAAGCCTCCCGAACACAAGGAGGCATAAGCATCCTTAAGAGGAGGGGGGTTAGGAGCAGGATGAAGAGGAAGGGGAGATCTCATTTTATATTTACTTTTAGAAAAGAATAAAGATGCATAACATTAGTTCAAAGGGCGAAGCCCCCCAGCCGAAGGGGCAAGGGGCAAACCACTTTCTTTCCCCTTATCTTTTTCCTTCCCTTCCCTTTACTTTCCTTTTCTCTTTTTTACTTCTCTCTGTTTCTTTCCCATCCCTTTCCTTTTTTTTTGTCTTTTTATATCAGATGTGCATGAGGCGTATGCCTCTAGCACACCTCATGAAAAAAGAGCAAGAGGCGTATGCCTCAGAGGTGTCAGCGCCTCTGGCAATACGCCTCGGGGCGTTTTGGGAGCACCTCACCTGGAGGCGCCTCCAGGCACATGCCTTTTAAAATACTGTACATGAGCGAGAAACAAATTTGAATATGGCGGCCAATATACTAGTAGTATTGGCCCATATTGGCTTATATGGACTGATACAGTGACCAATTGGGTCAATGTTATAGATACGGGTAAATTGAAATGAAGCTTCATCCATTCCACCAGTCTCAAGTGCATGAAGCTCCCAGAATTGATACATATCGGTTGATATGTATAAAACCTAGACTGCAACTATATTGTTGAGTTGTAACCTCAATAGAAATGGTATTCAAAAAGCTCTCAATAGACTGTAAGCTAATTAGGAGTTCACCAAGTCATATGGAATTACATTTACAGACCAAAGAATAATAGAAGTTTGAATTTGGTTTTTAGAAGAGGCTTTGAATAAATCATGCTGCAAAAATGGTTCTGGACATTTCAAGATGAAAGAGAGCCTCTTTGGAGTGTGATAAGCCATAAGTATGGGATTGTTGATAAGATTGGAACAGCAGCAGTGTTTTAGGATTTAGCAATAAGGTGGTGAGTGCACTAGAGCCTAGAGTTCATTTTTGGGAAGGTAAACACCACAAAATTTGAAGATTTTGAGGTGCATCCAAAGCCCTTACGGGCTGAATATCAAAAATGTTAAAATCAAATAATGTCTAAAAATCAAGAACAGGAGTTGATTTTGAACATTATTTGATTTGGTGCCCAAGTATAAGACACAAGATGGTGGAAGGAATGCAATTATTTGCGTTCACATGGAGCACTCTGTTCTCGGAAATATTTGAGGTAGCCAAACTCCACTTAGTATGGAAACTTTTGCTTGGCTAGTTTCTCTTGATATTTGATCGGTGTATATTAATGTACAACAGAATTGATGAAATATGTTAAAACATTTTTTAGGAAATTCTGGAAGTTGAAATCCTTTGTGGTGAAATCTCTAAGTAAGAAAAGAAGGTAAGATTTTCTGGAAGTCTGATCCTTTTTACAGTTAGTTTGGACTTCAGAAAAGAAAGGAATTGAAGAATTTTAAATGGTAAATTTAAAGGCTGTGAAGATTATGTTCAGATAAAGGACTTGGACAAGATTCTAGTGCATCAAGAGCATTCAAGTCTCTGAAGAGCTTCTAGATCATACTTTCAGTCTACTCAATCGATATTGGTAGAATCTTAAATGTTAGATTATATCTGTGTTTTATTGCTTTACCTTTTGGCAGAATCTTGTTTCATGATTTGATTTTGCCATGTCTTCTCTTTTAGAATGCTTTTCCCCTATTCTTTTTTATCAATGTTTCCTCATATTCCGTAACACTCCCCTCTACCTCCACACTAGACCTGGCAATTGGGTTGGGTGGGTCGGGTTCGGGTTGGGTCAAGGTACTTCAGGTTGCATTTCGGGTTGGGTTGTCAAATGCTAGACCCTAACCCTAAATGTTCGGGTTAGGGTCGACCCATGGGTCAATTTGGGTCATCCAAAAAAATAATTGAAATTTAAAAAATAAAGAAAAATTACATGAAAAATGCCAAAATTAAAAGAATTAACCTTAAAATTCCAAATATAAAATAAAAAACTTGAACATTTAACAATTTAAAGAGTAAACAATAAAAAGTAAAGACTAAATAGAAAAAATTAAAGAGTGGAAACTTCTAACAATGCATAAATAATCCCAATTAGACTTGACAGTCGGGTCAGCGGGTTGACCCATGACCCAACCCAGTTTTTTCAGGTTGGGTCGGATTGGGTCATTTTTACATTCGGGTAGCTAAATATGAGACCCTAACCCTGTTTTTTCAGGTTGGGTTGGTCTGGTTTGGAGGTTCGGTCAACTTTTTGCCAGGTCTACTCCACACATTTAGTTAGGACCCTACGGAATAAATAGATTAACGGCACTGCTATGATGAGAAGAAATTAGAAGGAAGTGGCTAGTTCAGCCCCTGCCGAAACCAAGATTAGTCTCATTTGGTCTGCTCCTTGAGCTGAGATCTTGGCAAGATCTCTAATATTGGAGGAACTTTCAGACATGAGGACGGGAAAGTCATTGCTCTATTGTCTGGTACTACTGGTTTAGGTGATTCACCTTGAGCTGAGATCTTGGCAGTGATTGAAGGAATGAAGAAGGCTAAGGAGCTGAACTGTCACAAGCTTATTGTTGAAGGGGACTCAAAACTGGTTATGGGATGGCTGCAAAAAGAAGAGAACGATCTATCGAAGCTTGCTAGTAAGAAAAGAATGTTTAACCAGCTAGCACAAGGTTTAGAAATTGAGCTACAGTGGATAAAAAGAAGCACTAATTCCATTGCGGATACTCTTGCTAAACATGGGATGGGAAGAGAATAATTGTTTTCGGCTATTTTGTAATTTGAGTTATTTTTCTTTTCTAGGGGAGGGGTTAAGAGAGTTTACCCCTCCTCTAGTCTCCTTAGTACTTTATTTATTAATGAATTTTCCTGTTATTGATAAAACAAGGCACTCACCTTCATAACAATCAATATTCCAATGATCACGAGCCATGAAGCGCCATAGACCTGTAAAATTAGAAAGTAAATGAAATTATAACTATATCCCTTCAAAAATAAGAGAACAACTTTTCATTAATTCATATGATGTAACTGTTAAGGTAGCAGAAATCTGACAGAAAAAAACTTACTAATACACTTTTTGTCTTTTTTGTAATATTTAAGTGATATACAAGACCATATTGATAGATGAAAAACCGCAGTGCTAACACAATCTCAGCAATGATGCCACGCTTCCCAGAATGACGAAGATGCTCTTGCTCCTTCTCCCACCATGATTCCCAACTTTTTTCTGGAGGTACACCAATTCCTCCTCGGTTGCTTATCCATTTGTTCCAATCAGTCCAGTCATCAACAATCTTTTGCCACTCAAATCCAGATGGATTGAAGAGAAATGGAGCAAAAAGCCATGTTCCCACCATGAACCACATAGAGATAGTGATCAAGACATATGCAACAGAACTTCTATACGTATGCCCAAAGATTTGGTAAACAACAAGTAGAATTAGCAGTTCAATTCCCTTCACAAAATGGCTTCGGGAGTACAACCTATAATTGTCTGCGAATTTTGCATGAAACACCACAAACCCACGACCTGTGCCTCTATATTCTGCACCACCGTGAAGCAATGTTCTTCCATAGTAGTGGGTTTTTGTTCCAAGTGAAAATGTGAAAAATACAGGGGCCAACTGTAACTGCATTAACACAAAATCACTCAATGCTGTTCTGAATCCTCTTTCTAGTCCAATTTCCATCATCATTGGCAAGGCCATCAAAAACCCAAGTTGCACAAAAGACTGAGATGCAAGAGCCACTTGAAGAGGCTTATTATCCCGAATAGCAGGTTGTGTGCTAAGTCCTTCCTCGAGTCCACTAAGAACGAGATAGAGGCGGCCATACAGAAACACATAAACTGTGAGCACTGTTATCTGTAAGAAGAAAGTCATGAACCAGTCAGAAGGTCACATGACACCATTCTGTCAAGAAGGGAAAAGGTGGTATGTGTACATACCAGGGTGCTGAAATAGAAACCAACAGTGGTGAAATAGCATGACAACATCCGGAAAAAATCAAAGCGGTGTCCAAGCCTATATATGTCACGACTTAGTGTCTGCTCACCATTACCATTAGCAATCTTTGCCTCAAATAGTGAGATCTGGTTAAGACCCACATCTCTCCCCTTGCCAACTTGAATGTACTCATGATGAGTAACATTACCTTCACGAAGGGTAGAATTGAAACCTGCATCTCATAGCCACATGGAATAGTAAATCAATTATAAGCCCCTCTAAAGCCCTGAAAACATTAAAATTCAAACTGGGGAGGCCAGGTATTGGGCATGCCTGCAAATATGTCTTCACTTAAATTGATGATCTTTGATGCCTTACTTACACCCCCCCGCGTAAGGTGAAACAATCTATCAAAAACATCTGGATGCCCATAGTGAAACCGAACCCTTGCTCAACGAAAAGATAAAAAAAAAAATGAAATTCAGTAAAGTGAATATCAAGTAATCACTGGCATCAAAAACAACACAATACAGAGCTTGCTAATTGCCATTTTGTCCTCGAAGAAAAATGCACAATTATTACGAGATTTATGTTAACAAAGAGGTAACCACCAAGCACCCCCTCTGTTTGATGACTTGCAGTTGAGGAAGCAAGGCTACATCCATCATAATCCCATCTTGGGTATTCTTCTTTTTATTTTAACTTGGAACTGGAACATATTCAAAAAAACAAAGAGAACTTTTGGCAATGTGGACTGATAAAGATGAAATTCATCCTGCTGATGGACCGTCAGAATTAGCTATCTGTGGCATCGGTACTGTTACCTAAGCAGCTTAAGGACCTCAATCTGATAATCTTGTCATGAGAACATTCACACCACAGCACAAGGAATAACACACATAGAAGGGAAAACATGACTGGTAGACTTGGATGTATTGTCATTTACACAGTTGCACTAATAAATAAATTATCCAACCTATAGCTTTATCTTCTGAAGCACTTGAGGTGTAAAAGATGTCAATAACTGTTTTGTGGCTAGAACGGGTATTTGCAATGTTTGAGGTATGGCCATCCTATAGGTCTTTGCCATGTTTTGACTCCTATCTGCTGGACATCTGTGATTGATCCAAGCAAAGAGAAGGCGAGTTTTGGTGATTCACGTCAATTGTAGGTCATCTTACTGTTGTAGAGAATCCCAACCTCTTAGAAGAGATGGTCGTTTAACTTGTATAAAGCGAGGCACCCACTAGTTTCCTAACACACTACAAAGATATGGTTGGTGGAAGGCTTCTTATGTGAAAGCCTCCACATCAGTGTTCACAATTTTGACATGATATGTGCCATATCAGGTGTATCATACTGTCAATATGCCTTTTAAGGGTTTTATCAAATCTATCAGTTTTAAATGTTAAACATCATTTAAACTGACCCTTAATCAAAATATGGAAGAAAATAATAAGAAAAAATGGTCTTTTATGGTACCAAAACACCCAATATGCATGTCCATGTGTATTGGGTGTATTGATACTTAGAACCATGCTACGTCATGAAGCTTTCCTTGAAACAAAGGGGCAGACTGGTCTATAAGCTTTGTCAGACAGTGAGCTTGGTAACAAAACACCCAATAACTGATGTTTTCACCATTCACCCTTTCAGTAATAGCACTCCACTTTCTTTTTGAAATTCTTCCTAATTAGCAGTAAGGAAAAATGTAACCCTTTATGGAACAAGGCAACTCTAGAAAGAGAAATGCCACATGAAAATGATGTGGAGAAACAGGAGATCAACGATGGCCAGATTAGCTCCAATGCCTGACCTTCATGTCCTGAATAGCTCCATGTACATGATAAACAACTGGCCCGAGATCAGACCAGCCATAATGGCAGGGCCAATCGTCTTCAGTTCAGCCATTCCGGTCAACACCCAACTAATCAAAAGATGCCTCAGAGGGAAAATATCAAACAAATGAGGTGATGACAAGGAATACAGAATGTGCTAGACAATCAGCTCTGTTTTAATGTACCAAATGCTTTTTGAATTCCTGACACATAAGGATGGTTGGGTACAAAGAAGAAACAACATTAACCTCCATCATGACAAAGACTAGATCAGGACAGTCTACACCAAAAGGGTTTCAACCAACTTAAGATGAAACATTTCAATTTGAAAAAAAAAGCAATTAAAATTATGATGACAGAAAGATCAATTCTATGGTTCAAAAGCACTTGTAAAGCGATCAAACCAAAAAGCAGAGTGAGCCAACCAGGCAATTATTATCTGTAAACCCAGACTACCCGGTGTTTTGAAAGCACAAGGTGCAAGAAAAACACAAGGGATTTTTTTTCTGCCCAAAGAGCAAGGTGCAAAAGAACTGCGAGTCCTTTAGAAGAAAGACATAAATTTGAATAAAAAAATAAACGTAAAAAAACCGTATGGATGAAAAAATGAACTTATATTATATAAGAAATAAAATGTTCTAAAAATCCTATTGGTCAAATTAAGAATTCAAACAGAGAAGGATCATATCTAAGCACTTAAGAATTCAAGACTGAAACTTTCAATATCTCTGTTTTATTGCATTTGCATGACTACTAGTGGTTAATGTGACATTAAACATTTTCCATTCTTAATTCTTTAAGCTGTCTCTATACCAAGCTCCTTGAGGCAATCCCAAACAAAGTCCATAAACCACCTCTAATACCAAGCTCCTTGAGGCCAGCCGAAACAAGCTCCTTGTGTTGTGCCAAATTCAGAAAGCTGATCCTAGGAGTTTTGATCTCCATAGTGGCAACGTATTGGAGAAACACCACACAGGTGAGCAAGGAGGAAAGATCAAGGAACGAAGGGTTTTGAGGAGAGGAGAAGAAAGAAGTAATATAAGGGACGGAGTTTTGATCTCCACCCTTATTCTTATTTCTATATAGCTTTCCATCTTGACTTATGAAATTTAATGTTATTAATATATTTAAAAGAAATCAATATATTTATAAGATTTTTGTGCTTTAGATTGATGATTTGCCACATTTTGAGAGGAAATTTAATGTTATTAATAAAAAGAAATACAATTTTTCACTTAATATGCATGCTAAATGGTATATAAAACTAGGGAACTAGCAAAAAGTTAGTTCTTTACTTTATAAAATACTTGCCACCAAAAAGTCACCTAGGCGCCCAAGTGTCACCCAAAATCACTTGGGCACCTTGACAACTATGCTCTAATCATTTACCCTATTGTTTTGTTGTCAATACAACAGGAACAACACAAACACTTTCCAGTAGGCAAAACTCCTATCTCACTTTCTGTGAAATGTGAATTAAAGATGCCAGTTGCTCTTTACATTAACATAAAATTACATATTCAACTATACTCCAGTCATGTAAACACAAAATCCATATCATCCATAATTATGTAAAGTAACTATACACATTATGTATATGGTTTGCAGAGAAAATGAATAAGAAAAAGTGAAGAACTATAACAAAGGGAGAGGAAGAGCAACATGAGAGAGGAGAAAAAGAACCTGGCGATTGAGAGAAAATCATAATCCTCACAATCGGCCAGGTCATTATATATAACTTATATCATAACTGAAAGCAAAGTTAGAACCATGACCCTGTTTATGAAATTATTGAATTGCCTAAACTAACCCATTTAAGTAATAAAAAGAAACAACATATGTGTCATAATCTAAACAAGAATAATTAAAAAACAACTGAATAATGTTCTTTCAAAAGTAACCAATCAATGAAATAAAAATAGAATTATGGCATAGGATAAAGTTTTTCATGGTGTATTAAATCGTAAACATATCAACAACGACAAGAATGCTATTTCCAATCTCTGAAAACAAGAAATCTTACTTCAAAGGGTTTGCTAATAATCTTTGTCCAATTGTGACAAAACTCGTCTCTTGATTTGACATAAACCATGCTAGAGAAGAAACACTGCATTGAAAAGCAATAAAGAACAATGACACACTATTTAATAATTTAAACAAACAAAAGAATCCTTAAAAAATAAGTACTGCAGCCTAGTTTTTTTTATACATCTATTTTAGTGTAAATCCTATACCAGGTATATAACATTTATGGATGATTTTACCTGCCAGTAAATATATGCTCCCGGAGTCCAAGAATAGTTGGACATCTCACACCGTCGTGTTTCTTAAGAAATTCTTGTAGCAGATTGCGCATTTTCAAGGCTTCTTCCATGTAGTTGTCCTATATAAATAAACACTGTAAGAAGATAGCAGCAAAAAGGCATAATTCTCATGAAGATGAAGAAAATTTTAGTTATGTACCTGGTTCATATCAATGGTTTGCAAACCTTCCCCACGGGTAAAAATAATGGCATGGTTTTGATTTTCAGGCTTTCCTTCCCCCAATATAGCAGGTCCAGGAAGCTTTATCCGGTAAATAACCTATGAACAAAAATTGAAGCAATTATATATAAATCAGCAAATCCTTTGTACCAAGATAAAGTGAAGCTCTAAAATTCTAGAATCACCAAGCAATACAGAAGCAAAGTCATAAACATATGAAGAGTCAAAACAGATCTCCTAATTGCCATCATAGTTGTCGAGACGCCTGTGTCTAGGAGCTTCTTGGGGCTCACCTCACCCAAATGCCCAAATGCAATGACATTTTGATAAGGTATTATTAATAAAAAGAAATAAAAAGTATACAAGTGAATCATTCTTTTCACTTATTGATTTTTTCATAAAATAATACTTTTTTTTAGTTTCTTATTTCCTTAGGGTTCTCTGGTAGCTATTCAATGTTCAAAGACTGAAGAAACGCATGTAGTTTGACGCCTTTGGAGCAAAAACAGGGGCTCCGCCCCTTCTTTTTCTTTTTCCTTTTTTTTTTTGGAATAAAAACAGGAGCTCCTCCCCCATCTTTTTATTATTATTTTTCGAACAAAAACAAGGGTTTTTCACCTTCATTTTCCCTTTTTTTTTAAACAGGGGCTCCACGCCGCCTTCTTTTCCCCTTGAGCAAAAACAGAGGCTCGGCTCCACCCCTACCCCTTCCTTTTCTTCTTCTTCTTCTTCTAGAACAAAAACAGGGCTAAGCCCCTTCTTTTACTAATATTTCGACAACAAAAACAGGGGTTCAGCCCCTTATTTTTCTGTACATTTTTGAACATTAAGCAACGCCTAGGTGACTAGACGACTAAGCACTCTCTGGTAGCCTAGGTTCGCCTTGGCGCCTTAAAAACTACGATTGCCATCATATTCACTCTAACTTCTTGGTTACCTGTTTGAGTAAAACCACCACGATCTCATTAAAAAATGACTACAGCAAATAGCATCAGTAATCCAACCAACTTCCTAAAATATAACAAACAGATACCTGGTCCAAATTTTGAACTGGCTCTGTCGAGTTGATAGACTTTGGTAAGGCAGCCTTCACAAGAGCAGAGTAATAGACTTTTTGACCTGGCTTTTTGGATTTGCTAGTTTCTTCAACCTCATCAATGTAAGCTACACGAAGGGACGGGCATCTATAACAAAATGAAAGCACTGCCTATCACTTACTAGTCGAAACAAGAGATATATGAACAACAAATCAATTCGCGGATATACGTTGTCATAAGCCGTAGAATATCCTGTGCACGAGCATCTCCAGACCGCTTGTGAATGCCATATTGCTGGCAGGACACCACATATGTAAATTTCATATCAGCTACTGCTTGGCATTGTGCAAACAAAGACCTTTCATCCTTTGAGTGCTCATCAGTATTTAATTCAGCAGCCTTATAGCCCTGCAATAGATCTGAACAAAATATACAACAATGATTGCATGCAGAAAATAAATATACTTTTATAGGTGGAATGCCAGTTCTAAACTAAAGTCAAGTGCTTTGAGATTTGAAAGAGAAACTACCATCATCTTTGGCCATATCAAGGAACGCCTGAAGTTCCAAAGCTTTGCGGTAGTACATCATTCCTCTCACTGACATTTGAAAAAATGTCAGTCAATTGCAAACAGACAATATGGAAGGCCTGGAGTATGTTAATTTTCTATGACAAAAAGGACTGAAAGTTCAAATCAAACAGGAATTTCATTATTTAATCTATTGGAAGAAGAAGCACCAGATTTTTACCAGTTCTAGTTAAAGTTTGGCCTCTATATGATGCCCAAAGACGAAGTTCCTCCTCCAGCTCGTCATTTCTTCTAAGTTCTTCTTCACTTTCAACACCCACCCGCTCAAGAAAGTTTGTCCATTCATCTGCATATTATTTATCATTTAATACAAGAAAAAGAAGATAAGTTTTCAAAAGACACATTACTGGCGTGCTTTTATAAATGTAAGAGACCAATAACAGACCTGGAAAGATTTTCTGCAAGTAAAAAAGAATGGATACACCATCTTCGTTCTGCTTTTCCAGGCCATTTATTGAAAAGAGGACATCCTCAGAATAATATGGGGTTAACACACTACAAGGAAAAACAAAAAGTAATAGTTACCCCATACAACACTATATAAACTAAAACCAAGAAAAGGCATGTCAAATTGCAATATAGCATAAAGCCAATTATGATAAAGCCATGATTACACAATGTTGATCCCATCTATCGGGGCATGAAATAAAATTGGTACATCTCCTAAATCATATGTGTGAGCATGCACAATATAAGAACCTGAAGTAGAAAGATCTAAGCATTTAAAGAAAGATTGCCCATCATAACAATTTCACAACTCAACCACTTCAATTACTTCATCATCCAAGCAAAGAGAAACCAAGAATAAGAACCTGAAGTAGAGATATCTAAGCTTTGACAGAAGAATAAGAACAAATTGGACCAAATAACCACTAAAATCCATTCAGTGCACCATCGAAGAAGTAAAAATGCAGAGACATGATTATGTGAACAATGACCAAGATGGACAGGAGATTGGGACACGGTGAATTAAAAGGCATGGCTAGAAAGACAGACAAGGCACAATTTAGAATATGCACCTCACCTAGGTCCCAGGCGCAGCACTTTCAAAAGGCACAGACCCGATGTATCTATGTGTACGCATAGTGCACCTTGCGCTTACGCCCAGCCCAAGCCCCTCAAGGTAAGCCCAAACAAGTCTATATCAATGTCTTAAATTCTTAATCCCTATAAAAAAGGTCTTATAACTTCAAGTGTCTTTTAAAAATATCTTTTATTAGGATAAATGAATAGCAACTTTAGCAAATATGGGGTTTTCGAAGCTTTGGTGAGAAAGCAAAGTGAGCAAACTTTTTTCTTATAATGATTAAGTATTTAAGACCCTGATATGGACTGGTTTGGACTTGCCTTGAGGGGCTTGCTACCAAGGCAGCTCTTAGAATCAGGAATGCATAATGTTTAACATCACATAGGCTATTTGAAGTAATGCAATTGGAACAAAATAAATAGATTAGGAACTTACATGCCAGAATATGTTTTATATGTTATGATTCACTTTTTTTTAACTTTTCATTTTAATTATGTTTTACATGTTTATGTACTTTAATTTGAGATAATAGGTTTTTAAAGCATTTATTTTTAAATTTAAGTATATATTTTAAATTAACATTTTTTTGATAAATTATATTTTAAATTAACAATTTCTTTTGACTTTTATTGCTTTTTTTATTTTTTTGGTCTTTTTTTTACTTTTTTTTGCATTTTGCACGTTGCTTCAAAAAGGTGTGGGCCCCCATCTTGCGCTGTTAAAACACTGGACAAGATCATTCATATAAAGGGGCACAGGCATGGACAAAGTTGCACATCTATCTCCAAGAAGGCAACATCTCTCCCTTTGATTATTCAAACACTATCTCTCACCCTCATATCTCYTTTGATCTTTAGCTTGCCAACATTATCACTAATATCTAGTTATCACTTAGTTGTTTATGTATTATTTTATACCCTAGAGTAATATGATAGCACTGGACGTGCCATGTTACTTGCTTCTTTATTTTGCAATTATATAACATCTACAGGGCAGTACTGTAATTGTATATAACTATTGCTCTCTGAAATGTCACAATCACCATGACAATGTACGAGTTAGTTATTGGTGAGAATTATCTAGATTTTAAAGATGTTTAATCATAATGTGGGCAGTACTGGATCTATTTCAACTTCCAAGCGGTCACAGGGCTAACATTCACATCACCATGCCAAGGTTTTTATTGGCAACTTCCTAGAATGTCACAATCCAAAAAAGTTTTTCCCTAGAAGATGTGAAAAACTAGGATACCTTGCATGCAAGGAACAGAAACCTAAAGCTGGAACGCTTTACATAGAAATAGGGCAACAGAACTCAATAGTAATATGATTGCTAATAATCCAGTGGTAAGATGATAGTTAACATGTTTGTTTAATACTATACGTGGAAGACTTGCTGATTGTTGCTAGGTGAAGGTCAAGGAACCTTGAAGTCCTTGCTAAGTAAAACAGGAATGTCGGGAAATCGTGGGTCTCATAGAGCAAATATATATAGAAAGTGTTGGAGAGGTTCAACGAGGGTAATCAGTTGATACCCGAATTGTTGCACACTACAAATTGTCTTAAACAACAAAGTCATACTACAGAAGACAAAGAAAAGGAATATGTATTCATGATGTTGTATCCTAACACAATTGGCTACCTTATGTATGTAACAGCATATACTAGACCAAACATGCTCATGGAATATGTATGGGAAGTAAATATAAAGCAAATACAAGGAAAGAGAATTGGAACACACTTGCAGTTGTCAGGTACATAGATTCTGACTATGCAAGGGTTAAGGATAACATAAGATGAACTACAAGATTTCTTAAACTTCTAGCAGGAGGGCTCCTATGCTATAGATAAATGTTATAGTAATAATCTATAGTGGCATTACATCTAACTGAGTTATATAAAAATTTAAGGAGGGACCAAAATGAGCAATTTGAAGAAATGGTTCACTCCAATAATAAAGATTTTCTTATGCTTCTATGTTGCCACAATCAAGTTTGGAGCCCTTCATAGAGGGATTTTTTTTTAATTTCCATCTCTTCTTCCCAATGGAATTTAAACTCATTCCATACAAAAAATTACTAATAAGATAAATAATTCAACTCAATAACATGTGAACAGAACCATAAGCTAATTACAGAACTTAATTATATTAAGAATTCAATGAAATTGAAGCACAAATAGAACTTACGAAAAAGAAAGCATATTGCGAACTTTCGGGGCAGGTGGCATGTCCATAAACAATGAATTTGAGAAAAAAGAAATTCGCCTTCTAGCTTCTAAGTTGGTGGGTACATCCATTGCAGACTCCTTCACAGTAAGCAACAGATGAAGCCTCTTGATCTGCAGACATAAATAACAAAATATGTAACCACAGAATGAACATTTTTCAATGATACACCAAATTATTTTGATCCTGCTACTTTGTTTGTGTAATGTCGGGATTGATGCAGCATGCTTGTACTTTTATATAGTGTCACCATATATGGTGATACTTGAATATGCTTGTTAGTGCAAAACCTTTACTATAATTTTTCACGTAACACATTCACCCAATTAAACTAATAACTAGCCTTTTTGATATTTGGGTAATTTAGGAAATCAACTAGATGTTCCTTTAATTACATCTCTGTTAGAGGGAGAGAAAACCTCTTGATTTTGGCTTAGAAGTACAAGTAATAGACCAAACTAAGTAGAATTTTCCGGCAGAATTTTTCTTTGAAATTTGTGGTATATATTCCCTCTTTGTTTGAGAGAAAACCAACAAAAATAAATAAACAAACTTTTTTATGCATAACAAGCAAATAGGGATCATAAATAGCTAAATTTCATGAATTAGGCTGTAGATAACTTTTAAATAATGGTTTTGTGCATTATCATGGTGTAAGGAACCATAATCCCCTCAACAAAGTAATGATTTTTTAGGTTAATATGGTGTGAGGAACTTCTCACATAAATAACTGTAGGACTTAACAATGCTTTCAATAGTTGAACGAATATAACACCTTACCCCTTCACTCAAAAAAATGATGTACCAACTTTACTAATGAAACTCACCTTCTCCTTCCAGGCTTCTGTCTCTTCAACTGGAAACTTGATTGCTCCTTCTGATGCAAATAACTGATGTTCTAGGGGGGTTGACTCGTCACTTCTTCCATAAGATGCACCATGGCTCGAATCTGGCAAACTACTCAAGAAATATACTGACTTCATAAGAAGTTACCAAAGGCATTGACTCACCTAAAACAAGAATTGCACAACACCACCTTACCCAATCTGACCATCCGCAATGTCTCTGGTAGCAACCTCTAGCATGTCCTGGAAAAGAATTACAACCTTATCCCTGTCTTCTTGTTTGTTGTCCAACTGTCACAATTAAATTTATTCAGTCAGAGGAACTTTGTTAACAACCAGATAAGAAATGTAGAGGGAAAACTTTTGGACTCTTGAGCTGTAGGGCCAATAAATGGGTATGGAGCACCATAACTTGACACTTGACCTAGCACAGATCATTGGAATCCACCACTAAATGTGTTTCATTATGAAGATTATCTGGACAGATAATCAGCTTTAAACTATGTAGGAACTAGTTATTTGCAGCTTTAAACTATTTGCAATTTATAAAAGTTTTCGTTCAGGCAGTATTTAAAGCAAACTTAATGAAACAAAGATCTTGATTCTCTTGAAATGCAAGAGGTCACAAGTTATGTGAGCCCCAGAAAGCAAATACAGCTCCTACATCCAGACCAAAGCCATCCCCAATAAACTATATATCAAAAGTTTAGTGTTTACCAAACATTTGATCAGCTCAACAAATTTATCATAAAGGCTAGGAAGAGCACTCATTTTAAATTCAGTGATAAGCGTCTCCTCACTTATATGCTTGTCAACTTCCTCAAATATATTATTTATAATCCTGGAAATAACAGACAGTAAATAAGCAACACAAGGACATCATAAAGCACAGCAAAAAATAATACTTTCCAGATAAAGCACTACAAAAAAAGAGAAGTATCACTTACTCTTTCTCAGTGTTCCCCTGGACTAAGTAACAAATAATATTTTTAAAAGAAGCATAGCACTCACGAACAGCACAAGACATATAATCATCTGATCTTATTCTCTTCTTCAGTTCACGATCTTTACCATTGGAATCTTTAGCCATATCCAGTGCTATTGGAATCTGCTCAGCAAAAAAAATGACTAAATTAGAATGTTGTTTTCTGTGGTGTCTACGTCAGATAAAAGAAACCAACCTTGCTAGCAAGTAAGAATGGAGGCCACTGGATAAGCTGCAACTCACGATCAGCCCAATAAGGAACAAGCAACAAGTCCTTTTCCCTGATATTTAAACATATTGTTCACAATAAAAATATGTTAGAGAAAGGGGGAAACAGAAATTTTGAAAGCATTTAGCAAGATTACATGAATAAACAATTCAAACGCTGCAACAGCAAGACACTGAATAAACATTTTCCCATTACAATAAAGTTAAATACCTGTTGCTTATTAGATCCTCCTCTCTGAAACTTTCTATTATTTGATTCCATAGCTGAGCAAATTTTGCTCTTTCCTTTTTTCTATCAGGAGGTAACTGAAGAAAAAAAAAAAAAAACATGTCAATGTAAATTTATGGTAAATACTCAATCCATAATGAGGGCAAAAACAAGGGTTCCGAGCTACAAAACTTTTAAATAATCAGACAATCATAACCTTCTATTTGTCCCATAGAAAGAACATTGAAACCCACATTAAAAAGTGTCTCTAAGGTCAAATCATATTAATGGAACATCAAAATCATAAAGCTTGATAGAATTCTCTTGAATCACAGAAAAAAGCACAAGCAAATCTAAAATATCATGCTAAGGCAATTGAAATCATCTTTTTTGCATATTGCTATATCTTAGGTAGGACTCATTTGGGGGTAGCCAGGAGTCTTTGACATGTAGGACATCATTGCCAAAAACATGCAAGAGGTCCTTTGCCAGAGAAACTACTTTCATTAAGAAAAATTCCCAGAGAAAAAGAAAAAAATAAAAAGCAACAAAGAAACTATAACACAAATGGACAAACAAACGAAACTGAACCTGAGAGAACTTTCGAGACAAAGAGGCCTTCAGACCCCTCTTTTTCGTTTCCTCACTTTTCTCCACTGGAATCAAGCAATGATTAAAAGCACCGGGCAATGACTGAAATCTGGACCTTAGCATTCCTAGTGTCCGAATCTGGAAGAAGCAGGACAAGTGGATCAGAAAATCAAAAAGCAAAAGTAACACCGTCTCCCCTAATGATCTATTGTATCGCTAAGCACTGATACCATATATGGAATTACACAATGTAATGCAAAGGGTCAAATGCACATTTGCTTAGGAGCAATTTGGCCACTTTAAAGTGGCCAACCCAGGTGCAGGTGGGATTCGATTCCAAGTCTCTGCTACAACCAGCAGGAGACTTTACCAACCAGCCGATTGGCACCTTGTTATCTTCTCCAATCCTTCTCCAACATTTCTCTTCTATCTTTCTTATTCAGTCATTCATCAACAACTTGAAGCATCTCACTAAGTGTTGACATCAACATACATACAGTCAGCACAGGATCCTCGGATTTAAAAAAACCTGGATTTCCACAGCTTTCATTTTAAATGCTTTCTGATTTCAACAGTTCTCCCATTTGAGCATCATTAGCATTTTTTTTGAATTTCAAATAAAATACCAGAAAAAGACAATTTTCAATTTTTTATAGCAAGTTTACATTTTCTGGACTGTATAGCTGAATGAATTAAGTTTAGCATGATTGGTTTGAAGTGTTTGATTTGTATCAAGTTTCTTGACATACAGGAAGTTGTCCCATGTTTTTGATGGGATAGAAAATTTATAATTTTTTGTTCTACAAAATATTACCACCAGCCTAGATGTTCCTCCTTGGGGGATTTTGTTTAGAAGAGGAAAACTGTGATTCTTTTTTGTAAGACAGTCACTACTCACTAGCAAAGGCTTTACAGGTCATCCAGAGTGTATGTGTGGACAACTGTGTTACTGATTCTTACACTGGCTATATAAGAAACCCTTTGGAAGGCAGTGGCCACCTCTTGGGATTTGTAGGAGCAATATTTGATTCAAATAATGAAGCCAAGGCTTCGGATTTTGAGTCTGAGAAGAAGAGATCCCCATGAGGTGCACCATGAAAAAACAAAACATTCATATTACAAAATAAGGTTGAATGGAGAGGGCTTTCTTTAGTTGTCTCAATGAGCAAAGATGCAACTTATCCAAAGTGGGAGTGGGAGAATCTTATGGTAATATCTAGGTTAGTTCCATAGAACCCTGCATCAGTTATCAGCAGCTCAAGAAATTTGAGTCACAAAAACCTACCCCCAAGGGGTATCAAGGGGAGACCTGTTTTGTGCTATACCTTATAATTGTAATTCAGGCTAGTGTGTATTTATTTGCATAACACTCGGCTCCACAGGGAGGTAACACCTCATGCCTCCTCTTAGTCTGAATATACACCCTTCCATTGATTAATAAAATAGCACTTATTTATCAAAAAAACTACCCAGAATATAGAATACCAGAAGTATTAGTTGAGAAGAACTTTCAGAAACAAGAAAATTTTGCTTCAGCATATTTTTCATCTCTATAAGCTTTTTGGGAGAAAATAGACTATTATAAAGTTCTGGAATGAAAAGACATGGATGACACCATGCAGTATTGTAATCTTATTAACAAGAATTAGGATTTTGACAGCAGATTTCGAGTTGAGATGAAACGTATCTATCTAAAACCTATGCTCTGGAGCAGAGGGTAGAGAGTAAAAGTGACACATTTCACATCTCTTATAGGGAAAAGTTGTAGTGGATGAAAGAGGAAAGATGTCACTATTATCAAAAGCCAACCAAAATTTCTGCATTTTTTCTGTAACTTATTATATTTTACTCTATTTTAAAATAATATTTAATTATGATATCGAAGGTTGAGCATTTGACCTGGACAATTGAATCACAGGACCACCATACAGGCGGAAAAGCACTATAACGGTTTTACAAATACTGCTTGGGAAGGGTGGACTGGATGCAGACATAATATATCAGAGCATAGGTTCACTAATCACTACAAATATGTAGATCTACAGCTTAATTTAATAAGCACAACAGGGCTAACAACATTGTTGATAGTTTGGAATACAAGTGTAGCCACCAGAGGAAAAATGAAAATTCCACTAACCTCCCCAAGACGTCGAAATGCCCCATAGATGCCACCAAATAATGTAGAGAAAATAGCATACCAGATCTGAGCATCCATGAAATATACCTGGACAGAATTGATATATTTATATTAAATGGCTGAGACTTCAATGTAAAGAAGATTAGCAATTCAAGCAATAAAGACAAGAATGGTACATACAAGAATAATAGGAGCCCAGAGTGCAATGACAACACCAATATTGTTCTTGGCTGCAGGTAATATTGACACAGAATACATGAATCTGCAACTTCCTGAGGGATAAAAAGCTAGCTCACAAAGTTTCATGTTACCTCGAGGGAAAAACTCATGCCATTGAAAAGTTCTTATCTGGACATTCATGATGGCTTTTGTTGGACCAACAAGAGGCTTTATCTGCAACCACACCAAGGGGTAAAGAAAGAAAGTTAGACCTCAATGACCAAAGACGAAGAAAGTTGGACAGAACTCACAAAAGGGGTAGCAAAGGCTATAAGATGTACTTATCCTTTTCTTTTAATAAATGAAGTTTCTGCGGTAGATCAATAAGAAAAACTCTACATTGGCTTTAAAACAATACATTTAGCACTACAACAAAAAATCTATCACCTCAAAACTGACAAATCACCCAAAAAAAAGACAACCGGAACAAAGTCATACAAATCTACACCATCGCCAAATCATGGAGACATATCATGTATTTAATGCAGTGAGAGAGTGGTTATCTAGCTGTATACTACAAGGAGAGAATTTTATGCACAGTTATTTATATCCCCTATTAGGTTGAAAACTTTAAATTAGGATGGAGAAAATAAAATTATATTTTTTCAGAATCTAGCAAAGGAAGCACTGTTGCATTTTTCCAATTGACAATAAAATGAAATTTCACTGGGTATATATCCAAGGACGAAACAAACATTGCTTAATTATGCTAAATATCATATTTTCTATTTTTGCTTAATTTGCTTAGTAGATTCCAAACTTTTTGTTTAACATGAGTCTACAAATTCTTAAGTTCACGACACCTTTACCCAACTGGGTCCAAGACATTCCTAAAATCTAGGGATGTCTGATTTATATACAAATAGCTTTTAATATAGATTACACAGGGTGTCTGTTCCTTGCTTCCCTCTACTTTAGACTAGAAGATGAAACTTGTATTCTTTGGGTTTCCTACATGCCATCTCTTGCTATTTTCACCCCTGGCTGGGTTGAATGTGGACGATAAATGCTACACCCTAAATATATATGTCTAAACATAAGCATTTAGGAAGAAATCTAGAAATAATACCTCTATATAATAACTGAAAGCCAACTTCGTAATTATAAGAAGAACCCAGAACATAGTATACCTGAGTGGCAAAGGAATAACAAGCTTGCATGTTAATATATATAGAAGTGATGAAGAGAAAGAGAGATAGTTAAGAAAGAACAGCCAATCTGGTCATTCACTAAACCCCAAAGACAATGTACTGACTTGAAAAGAGAGAACGAACTCTCATGCATTCCCCTTCCAACATAGAGCCGAGGCTGTGAGAAATAGTGGAGATTAAACAGAAAGATGAAGAAAAGCGAAGTAATTACATAACCAAATATAGAAGAACCATAATCACCACTAACAAAGTGGCAAGGACATGTATTTACAAACCTGTGACCACCACATCATAAGCATCACAACTGAATTGTTGGACCTTTCTAGAAACCGCCGAATAAAAGGGAAGAGAAAGAACAATGTGGCAAGCATATTTGGAGACAAATATATAACAACAGCCAAAATATACAAAGAGGGAGAATTTCCACCATTGCCAAACCAACTCTTGATAGTTTTTGCAAACCCAGGAGGATGCTCCCATGTATAAGCATATGTCACAGGTAAAACAATCACCCATGCAGCAGCTGAAACAACCTTTAGGATATATCTTAGCTTAACATGTAATGACATGCTCCGCCTTGCTTTCCAACTCATGATTACATCAAGGATTGCTGCAAAAATGAAGATGTACAATTAACTTATAATAACTTTCATGAACAATGAGATAAAGTCTTAAATATAAGTATATAACTTTCAGAACTTACAAAAGCATTTGAGATTAAATGTAACATCATGTTCATCCATTGCCATAGACAAGGTAAAGTGAAAGCTCAAGTAAAAAATGACAAAAGCTAACAATAAAAAGGACATAACATGATTAAAAGATATGTTTTACAGCAACTAAAATTTGTTAAATGTCAAAAAGTACAAATCATAGGAAAATACAAGGATACAAGGTAATACAACAAAATTGGAAAGCCTAAGGCCACTTCATTTTGAAGGATACTTACTATAATGTATAGTAAGTATCATTGATATTTTCAATGAGTTCTCAGGTCTTTCATTTCAATGGATTTATCATTATTCCTATTTCCAGCATTGAGCAATAAAGCTTTGACTTCTCTATTATTCTCTCTATAGTCATCCAGTACATGGTAGTTTATTTATCTGCTCTGTAAATTCCTCTATTCTTCATTTATATCTTGTATATTGTTCTATAGCTTGCTTGTTAATTCCTCTTATTCTACTTGTTCAGTCTTTGGAAAAATCTTGTAGCATATATTCTCCCCACACACAAATAAAAATTGGATGAAGCAAATATTGAGGATATTTTACATCAAACTCCATCTTGCAAGGCAGTGATTGAAAATGTATTTTAAGTCTAGCGCAAGGCACAAAAAAGGTACAAGGGCCAATTTGCGCCTGAGGCGAGAGGCACAAGGCGAGGCGTGCACCTTTTTGAAGCAAGGTAAAAAATACAAAAAATGTCAGAAAAATCAAAAAATGCAAAAAAAAATTAAAAAAGTATTACACGTAATATTAATAAGAAATATAAACTTAAATTTTAAAATCAGTGGTTTAAAAAACCCATCATCTAAAATTAAAATACATAAACATAACATGTAAAGCATATTCAAATGAAAATTTAAAAATAAAATCAAACATATAAAGCATTTTCAAGCACGTAAAGCCCACAATCTCTTTTTTCACCAATTGCATTACTTCAAGTAGCTAATGTGATGTAAAACATATTACACTCCTGGGCCAAGGTGCAAGGCGCATCAGGCGTGCACCTCTTGAAAGTGCTGCACCTAGGACCTGGACGAGGCGCCTACCCTTTTAAATTACTGAACATGAATAGTAAACAAACATACAAAACTGAAACTCGGGTATATATAAAATAACAATAATAAAGAGAGTACCAACACTGTGATCAGGCATTTCAACTTACCTTGACCAAGCTTCAAGATTGCAGCAGTTATGAAGATACTTAGCACTTTTTTAAAAACATCATTCTCGAATATGCCACTTGGTTGCCCCGATCCATTCCAAGCAACAATAATCATTGCCTAAAGAATTTACATAACGTCAAACATGTAATAATAAAACCAGAGAGAACAACAATATGAAAAGAAAAGCAATTACCTGTAAACACAATATAAAAAAGCTCCACATTCTATCAAAACTTCTAAATACATGCCAGAAAGAACGAATCTCAACAAAATTAATCTTCCCCACCCACCGATCACGGCTGACTACCCTGCTTTCCTATACAACAAAAAAGAAAATGACAACAAGAAAATCCATCAGAAATGACCAATTTTTTTCTCAATCACATTCTTAAGAAACTATCTTGCATATTTCCTTCCAGGCAGAGAACCTATATACACAAAAAAAAAACAGTACCACCAATAGCTAGAAAAGCATCTAGAGCACCTATTAGGAAAAGTAATCTGTATCAATGTCAACAAGAAGGTGCTAGAAGGCTTAGATGATGTTGGATACTTGGATGCAAGATGTAATACTAGGATCAATGAGACATGGATAGACAGATAGTTGGCTTATCTATAGCAGTTAAATGTATCTCAAAAACAATATAGGAGCCAACAGAGGAGTGCTTTTATATCTATCAAAAAAAAAAAAACAGGGGAGTGTTTTTATAAAGTTAAGCACCCACGGAGGTCAACTACTTTTTTATAGCATATCAAAGCCTTCCTCAATTTCAAGAACTTGGCCATCAAATGTTGTTCTTTCATCATTAAATTCTGTTGAAATTATAACATGAAATGGGTGCTTAGATCAGTAAACACTTTCACTGATTTATCCGTAAAACAATGACTATATTTATGGGGTTGTAAATGAAAATGAGAAAGGTGACAGAATGCCAGCCTAAACCAGTGTTTTAATAAAAAAATAAACTTAAGTTTTCAAAACCTATTATCTAAAATTAAAATACACAAATATAATATGTAAAGCATATTCAAATGATAATTTAAAAATGAAATCAAACATATAAAACATTTTCAAGCATATAAAACCCACAATCTCTTTTTTTCTCAAATGCATCAAGTAGCTAATGTGACATATTACATTCCTAATTCTACGAGACGCCTTTGTGCCACGTCCCTCGAGGCAAGCCCAAACAAGTCCATGTTAGGGTCTTAAATTCTTAGTTTTCACATAAAAAATAATAATTTTATAGTTTTAATTGCTTTTAAGAAGATATTTTATTGGGATGAATGAATGGACAACATTACCAAATAGAGGATTCTCAAAGCAATTAAAACTGTAAATTTATTATTATTTGTGTCAGTGATTTAAAAGGCGCATGCTTGGTGCGCCTAGGCGTGTGCCTGGTGCGCCTTGCGCCTTAGCCCAGGTGAGCGCCTTTTGAAAATTTGCCGCTTTTTCCCTTTTTTTGAGTCTGGCCGCTGCCGGAGCTTCAAGAACCCCCTATTTGCTAATGTTGTCCATTCATTCATCTTAATAAAATATCTTCTTAAAAGCAATTTAAACTATAAAATCGTTATTTTTTGTGTGAAATCTAAGAATTTAAGACCCTAACATGGACTTGTTTGGGCTTGCCTCAAGGGGCGTGGCACAAAGGCAGCTCGTAGAATTAGGAATGTAATATATCACATTAGCTACTTGATGCAATTGAGAAAAAAAAAAAAAGAGATTGTGGGTTTTATATGCTTGAAATGGTTTATATGCTTGATTTCATTTTTAAATTCTCATTAGAATATGCTTTACATATTATATTTATGGATTTTAATTTTAGATAATAGGTTTTTTGAAACATTTATTTTAAAACTTAAGTTAATATCTTTATTAATATTATGTTTTATAATTTTTTGCATTTTTTTCAAATTTTTTGCATTTTCTTTAAATTGTGCGCCTTGACTCAAAAAGGTGTTTGCCTCGCCTAACACTAATTTGTGTGCAAACTAAGAATTTAAGACCCTAACATGGACTTGTTTGGGCTTACCTTGAGGGGCGTAGCACGGGGTTTGGGGCGGCGGAGCCCCCGGCCTAGCAGCCAGACTCAAAAAAAGGAAAAAAGCGGCAAAATTTCAAAAGGCGCATGCCTGGGCTAAGGCACAAGGCGCACCAGGCATGCGCCTTTTGAATGGGTTGTGCCTAGGACCTGGGTGAGGCACCTGCCCTAAAATGTGCCTTGCCTATGCGCCTAGGTGTGCCTTTTAAATCACTAGCCTAAACAAGAGTTGTATACTCTTTCTCTTTGCATGTACTCTTAACCTCTTATTACCTCAACAAAGTAATTGTTATCAATCAAAAAATAAATAATTAAATCTTTATTATTGTAAAAGGAACAGGATCAGGAAAGGTACTGCATAGTTGAGATAAGGCTTAATTAAAATGGGTCAAAAAAGCACCTCAAGTATGACAAAAGAAATATCTACATATCCAACAATGTGTTAGTATTGAAACTAGAAGTATGCAATTGATCCATAAAAAATAAGATTATAAAAAATGTGTTGTACAAGGCCACACACATAAAAGATGTGATCATCGACACTCCATGCATTTTTTTAAAGATAAATAAAGAAGAAAATTTATTCATAAAGAAAAAAAGATACAACATCAAGGTGACAAGGAATCACCCAACAACATAACAACCTAATACACCAAAATTCAGCAGCAAAATTTTCTTAACTAAGGCCTTCAAATTCTGGAAGAAGTAAAAACCAGGAGACAATCCTTGAAATTAACACAGCCCCTAACTCTTCAATGCTTTTCATTTTAACTTCGGATTCTCTAATTTTTTCATTCCACACCTCCCAGCACACAGCTAAGGGAATACAACACCAGATAATTTTCCTCTCGCTTTCTGCACTTTTTACCAGCAACCAAATATCTCATCATAATAATAAGGGACCCACCCAACCATGTTAAACAGCTTGAAGTGTAGGCCCATATACTCCTTCCACTCATTGCCGATGTTCATGCAGCTGCATGAAAGCCCTCCAATTCCTCCAACATCAGATCTTTCTTCCTAACCACATGAGGCCCATAAACATTTGGTACAAGAGGCCAACTTTGTTCAGCACCCCTGAATCCCAAATAGAGATCAACACCGCTGACATACTTTCAGAACCCAATGCCACGCAAACCCTATTCCTTGAGAGCCATATTTCACTTAAAATTCTGAAATCAGTCTCCAACCTTGTTTCTTGTAATACTAACATGTCAATTTTATAATTGTAGAAAGATTTGAAAAGAAATTGGCCTCCTGGAAAGCAAAGTTTCTTATGGAGGCAAGTTTACCCTGGTGAAAAGTCTATTATCCTCTCTCCCGATGTATCTGTCATCTTTGTACCCAATTCCGGCAGGAATGGCTGCTATCATCAAAAAAAAGATGACGGACTTCCTCTGGAAAGGCTGGAAAGAGGAGAAGTACCACTTGGTAAACTGGAACAAGGTCTGTCAGCCCAAATCTTTAGAGGGCCCTTGGGGCTTAGAAGGGTGAAAAGCATCAATTCTGCAATGCTAGGGAAGTGATTTTCGAGATTTGGGGAGAGTCAAGCTGGGCTGTGGAAAAGGGTGGTGCAGGCCAAGTATGGTGATAGAAATTTTGGATGGCATCCAAAAGTTTCAAATCGATTGATGGGTGCTCAGCTTGGAAAGGTATTGAAAAGGCCTATCACTTGTTTGCAAAAGGTGTGAAATTCATGGTAGGAAATGGACAGACAGTCAAATTTTGGAAGGATAATTTGGTGTGGGGAAAGGCCTTTGTACAAAATGTTCCCTGCTTTGTTTAAAGTTGCAGTAAACAAAGAAGCCAAGGTTGCTGAAAGCTTGCAAATCCAAGATGGTAGCTTGGTACGGATCCCACAACTGAGGAGGAATCTAAATGATTGGGATGTGGATGAGCGGATGGAACTACTGGAACTCCTTTATAGTACACAGGTGGAGTCAGTGAGGTCTGACAGTAGAACTGGAAGTGGGAGAAGTCTGGAAATTCCACAGTCAAATCTTTTTACAAGGCCTTGGACAGTGCAGAAGGGCAATCAGTCCCAACCCACATCAACAAGTGTAAAAATGTGCCTTCAAAAGTATCTTTTTTGTCTGGGCAGCCTACCACAACAGAATACTTACAAGGGACAACCTCTCTCGGAAAGGTACTGTACTGGATTCAAATAGATGTGTTCTCTGTGAAGGACAACTGGAAACAGTCAATCACCTTTTACCGCACTGCAATTACTCCTCAGAGATTTGGAACAGAATTTCACACTTGTTTGAAGTTCTAAGTTGTTGCCCAGGATCAGTAGAGAGGTTGAACTTAGTAAAGGGTTGGAGGGTGCAAGGTCTCAGTAAAAGAGGAAAATTAATTTGGTATTTAACCCAAGCAGTGTATTTTAGTGTCTATGGCAACAAAGAAACGCTTGGGCCATCAAGAGCAATATAAGTTCTGCTGACTCCACTTTTCCAAAAAATGTGGGGAAGATGTTTTCTTGGTTGTCTGGTGACAATCTGTTTAGTGGTGTAGGTTTTGAATCCTTTTTTTGTATGTGATAAGCTTCTTGTAAAGAAGGATGGGGATCAAGGTTAGAGGAAACAGTTTTTTCTTGTTTCCTTAGTGCATCATCTTGTTGTAAATTTGTTGTTCATATTTAATACAATGATGCTTTACCTTCCCTCAAAAAAAATTATAGTCCCTGACAAAATACAATTGCACCTCCCTTCTCTTTAAAGACTCGTTAATCCTCTTACATTCCAGGTACAAATTATTTGACACCTACTCAACCTCCATTACTGCCTCAATCCTTTCCTGGGCCTTTGATCTCAGTTCCTCCTTTTCCTTTTTTTTCAACCTCCCTGAATGTACTTCAACCAATAGCATGTGATTTTGTAGAGATATTAAAACAAAGAGAAAACAAACACATCCATTATAAGAAAAAATAGCATAAGAACTAATAGGAAAATGGTTTACCTCATGATTTGCACCACTTCTAACTCTACGAACTGGAGGATCACAAAAGAAATCTGCATCAGCACGCATGGGCCATCCCAGCCGGAAACAATCAACAGACCTATAGTTTGTGAAGGGAAAATTGTTGATAAAGAACTACAAGAGAATTCAAAAAATCAATCCAAATGTTAGGAAAAAATACCAAAAGTATTCATTTAAATCATCATAATTCCTCCACTGTGAATGCTTTGACTTCCCCTTTTTGCTTTGTTCGGCTTCCTAGTGCAGAACAGATCGATCAGATACATCAGAAAAACATTATTTTTGGAATTTATTACATCAGAAATGAATTAATACAAAGTTAAGACTCCTAAAGAGCAAAGCATAGGGTGCACCTTTGCAATCACTTCATAAATTGGAGTTACAACTTTTCTCAAGAAAGCCTCTTCTTCACCTCCATAGGCCGGCTTCACATTCTCACCAGTCATAGGACTCACATTCCCAGCTAGCATGCCATAAAGTTCAAAAGCCATCTAAAGACAAAACATAAGCCATAATGACAGAAGAAATCAGAAGAGGAAATACGACAGATACAAGCAATATCCAAAAAGAACGATTTCACAAAAAAAAAATGCATACTAAAAAAGATAGAGAAGAACACAAAGCAATCGCCAAAGCAACATCATTACGAATTTCAGGGGAATAACACAGCACCTAAGGGCCCCAGGATCCATTTATTTAACACCACAAGAGCATGGGGATAGGAGCAGGGATCATTTAATCTTCATTTCATTATAGACTTGTACCGGGTGCCATAAATAGTCTGTTTGATCAGTGATTTAAAAGACACCTAGGCAAACAAGGGAGGTGAATTTTAGGTTATGTGCCTCACCTAGGTCCCAGGGGCAGCACTTTCAAATGTGTTTGTGCCTGGTGCGCCTAGGTGTGTGCCTGTTGTGCTCTATGCTTCAGCCCAAGCGCGCACCTTTTGAAAACCTATGCATTTTACTCTGTTTGTTTGTGTTTGGCAGCTGGACCCCCAACATATGCTAATGGTGTTCATTCGTTCATCCTAAATTAAAGATATTTTTAAAAAACCCTGATATGCACTTCTTTGGGCCTGCCTCAAGGGGCTTCTTGGTACAAGACGGCTCGTAGAATCAAGAATGCATAATTTTTAACATCCCACTAGCCATTTGAAGTAACGCAAATGGGAAAAAAATAAAGAGATTAAGAGATTACATGCTTGAATATGTTTGAAGTATTTGCTTGATATTATATTTAAATTTTTATTTTAAATGTGTTTTACATGTTATGTTTATGTATCTTAATTTGATATAATAGGTTTTTTCAAAGCATTTATTTTAAAATTTAAGTTTATATTTTCAATTAATAATATGTTTAATGTGATTAAGATTTTACATTTTTTTATTTTTTGGCATTTTTTAGATTTTTCTTTGCAATTTCGCGCCTTGCTTCAAAAAGGTGTGTGCCTCGCCTAGCGCCTTGGGCGCAAAATGGCTCCTATGCTTTTAAAATAGTGTTCCATAACAGAAGATGTGGCTACATTGAATGACTTATTGCTTGGATTTTAAGTTGGGAGTGCTCTAAAGAGGGTTGTGTCGGCCCACGAGCAGCACATGGGCTGTCGAACACATGATAAAGTGGGCCATATCAAGCTGACATATACCAATACAGAGAAAGAACAACTCATATTGAAAACAAGTCCACATTACAAGGTTGGAGATCTAGCACACTCCATAAACTCTCTAACAAATCAGATCTGCTGACTTGGAAAATTGAAAACAAGGTTGTAGCTCCTGCCTTGCTTTCTGAAAACTAATGGATCCCAAACAATTGTTGCTCCTCCTGAGAGCCCTACCGCTTTAAGCACCCACCCACTCCCCAAATTTCATTCTTCATTCTTAAATCAACGCTCTCCAACCTTGTTTCTTGCAAGAGAACATCCTCTGATTTGTGGCTTCTAATCAAATTACTTACCAGATCCCTTCTTCTTCCCTCCCTCAGGCCCCTAACATTCCAACTGAGAACCTCCATTCCCATCACTCCACCGTCCTATACCCTCCCAACTTCAAACCCTCCTCACTCATTCTCTTCCAAACCACCCTCCTCTTCCCCCTTCTTCATCCCACCCTTTATTTTTTTTCTAAACTCTCCTTTTTTTCTCTTCTCCCTTCCTTTGTTAAAACTTCTCAAAGATTATCTCTGCAAATCCTTCCCCTACCCAAAATAACAGACCGAGAGAATTTCCTATCCCAACTTCCCTCTCAACCAACTTATTAATTTCCACTTCCTTATTTCGAAATAAATCTATATCCCTATGACCTACCTTTCTTTTTTCTTCAAAATTCTTCTCGTCCTTTATCATTTCCCCTGCTTCTTCCGTTTATTGCTCTCCCCTTCCCTTACCCACTTAGAAATAATTTCTCATCCCCTCCCTCCCACTCAACCCAACCAATGGGATGGTCTCCAAAGAAATAAATGAACTTACCTCTTTGATTCCAAGAACAGATTTTTGGGTGTTATTGTTCACACATTCTTCTAAGCCATCTTTTTTTTCCTCAAGCATAGTTGGCTCTACCTCTACTCATCTGAGACCTGAATGTCTTGAAATTGGTTCAATGCAAGATCTAACTATGGAACACCGAGAGCTAACCGTTGCACCCTCAATCAGATACCCTTCCACCTCAAGCACTTTGTCATTGTCACCTAAGATAGCATCATCCTCCAATCATTTTGTCTTCACTGCACTATCAATCCCCACTTGATTTTCAACCTTTAGGGCTCTCAAAGGAGAAGAAGCAGAACCTTCAAGATGAACCTTGGATCAGTTTCAATCTCGAACCAAAGTCTCATTTGCCACCACCAATTCAAAGATTGGCTCCTTTCCTTCCACAATAAATACTTATTGAAGCACCTTGTGCTTCCTTACTTCAAAAACACCAATCTTCCTTCTGCTCTAGTACTTGGTTATCACCCAAATCCAATCATCTTCCTCATTTTTATCACTTTGTGTCGTCCGCCTAGAAGACATTGAGCCAAAGCCCTCCTTGTTCTTCTCAACATGGGAGTTGTATGGATCCTAATCCTAGATTTGAGGAGTCTATTGTGGGAAGTGGAAGTGGAAGCCAGAGTGAAGTGGGACTCCAGTCACTCCACAATCATTTTCACCACAACCAGTAGGCCCAATGGATCAATTTGTTTCATCTAAGACACGGCAACAGACTTTAAATTCAAAATGGAAAAAAGATCAAAAAAACAAGTTGTTGATAGGGCTATTGGAAGATGCTTTATGCCAATGCATTGTCTTTTAATTTGGAAAATAATCCTTATTTCAAGAGTATGTGTGAGGCAATTGCAAATTTTGGTCCAGGTTATAAGCCCATCCATGCATGATCTTCGCACTAGGATCTTGAAAGAAGAAGTGGAGAGTATAGATAAATTGATGGAGGAGTACAGAAAATCATGGAAGGACAATGGTTGCACAATTATGTCTGATGGATGGACTGATGGAAAAAATAGGTCCATTATCAATTTTCTGGTTAATAGTCCAAGTGGGACAATGTTTTTGAAATCTATTGATGCATCTGATTCAACTAAAGATGGTGAGCTTCTTTTTAAATGTCATGATGATGTTGTTGAGGAAGTGGGAGAGGATAATGCGGTTCAAGTAATCACAGATAATCATTCAAGTTATGTGCTTGTTGGAAAAAAGTTGATGGAAAGGAGGACAAAATTGTATTGGACTCCTTGTGTTGCACATTGTATAGATTTAATGTTAGAGTCCATTGGGAAAATGAAAGTTTTTAATGAAACAATTGAGAAGGCAAAGCAGGTCACAAAATTTATTTACCACCATGGATAGGTTTTAAACTTGATGAGGAGTTTTACAAAAAACGAGAGCTTTTACGTCCAGCAATTACTCGCTTTGCCACTACTTACTTGACATTGCAAAGCATTTATAAACAGAAGCAACCTCTTCAATCGATGTTTGCTTCTGAAAAGTGGAATGAGAGACATTGGAGTAAGCATCCTAAGGCTGTCAAGGCAAAACAAACTATAATGTTTGATAGCAGATTTTGGCCTCATGTGGCATTTTGTGTAAAGACCACTTTGTCAATAGTTGCAATGTTGAGAGAAGTCTATTCTAAAGTAAGACCCTCAATGCCTTATTTATATGAAATGATGGATTCGGCAAAGGAGCAAATTGCATTTGCTTGTGGTGGAATAGAGAAAATACATGCCTATTTAGAATAAGATTGATGAAAGATGGACCCCTCAACTTCATGTCCCTCTTCATGCAGCAAGCTATTATTTAAACCCACAACTACGCTATGAGCCAAATTTTTCGAATGATCGTGAAGTAAGAGAGGGATTATTTGAATTCATGAAAAGGATGATTCCTGATAGGCATGAGTGTGCCCTAGCAAATTGCTAGTTGGATATGTATGATAAAGCACTAGGAGATTTTGGTTGGCATGCCAAACGATACGAGGAAGAGGCAATCTCCTGGTAAGTGATTTATTTGTTTGATAATTAGTATGCAACTATGCATAATTCTTTTTTTTTCTTTGGATATTTTAAAGCTTTACTACTAATGTCTTGTTAAATGATATTTTTGTAGTTGATTGGTGGGCACAGTTTGGAACCCAAACACTAGAGTTAACAAAATTTGCTATTCGAGTTTTGAGTCTTACATGGAGTGTTTCTGGTTGTTAAAGAAACTGGAGCACCTTCGAGCAGGTAATTATTTATTTTCTTATTTACTTTTAAGGTTTTTATGAAATAGTCGTGTTTTTCTTGTTAACGTTTTTAATAATATATATTTTGTCTTTCTACTAGATACACACAAAAAAGATAAACAAATTGGAGCAACAAAGGTTAAATGCTTTAGTTTTTGTGATGTATAATGTGAAGCTGAGGGAAAGAAACATGAAGAGGAGGGCAAGTGCAAGTACTGATCCCAATTTGACACAACATGTGGAGGAGGATGATGAATGGATTACTAAAATTGAGGATCCAGTTCTTCCAACTAATCCTTCTTGGGTGGATAATGATTCTTTGGGCCTTGAAATTGCCGCAGTTGAGGTGGTTCAAGATGCGGATACAAATTTAGTAGAGCCAACAGCCCCTACCAACAAAGAAGGATTAAGTGGAAGAAAGAGGGGCTCAAGTGATGGTGGCAACAATACATTTGACCATAGAAATCAAAAGGCTCAAGCTACTAAATCTCAAAGTAAGTAATAATTAGTGTATATTGATTCTATTCATCTAGTGTCCAATTAATTTTTTAGTTGATGATTATTGAGTGAGGTGATAATTGCAATTGGATTTTGTTTGTAGGGACAAGGAAAGGGAAGAGTGTTGAATTAAATTTGATTGATGAGGATGAAGATGATGAAATAGGGAAAAATGAACCATGTGATGTGGATGCAACTCTTGAAGCAGATGATGATGCCTTTGTTATTCTAGATGAAGATGATTTAGAGTCTTTTGATTGAGTTACAGTCCTTAGAGTTTTGTTTTTTTGTGATCTATGTTTCAACTTTCAAGAATTGTATTTCACATTTTCACTATGCTATATTGCTAGTTGGAGTTGAAACCTTGAGATTTAGAACTGAAATATTGATTGAAATTAAGTCATTTTAGCATTATATATGTTTTTATGCTTAAAATATCTATTTTTTATTAGTATACCCACTGTAATTATAAAAAAGAAAACATACTTGAGGCTTACGCCTTCCTGTGCTTGGGAGGCTTACGCCTCCCGCGTTCTGAACTACGCCTCACGCCTCTAGGTAGTGGAATGCCTCGCGTCACGCCTTCGCATTTTAAAACAATGGTTCAAAGAAAGTAAGGTTCTCCCATATTACACCTCACGCCCTTAGCCTTTTTCCTCTTTTCTGTTTTTTTTCAAATTTATCAATTACCAGTTAAAACGGTGGTCTCCATCCCTTTTATTTTGTAATTCCAAACCAGCTAATGCATGTTCCCCTCCTCTTTTACTCTTCCCCCCAATTGACTCTCGATCTCCCCTAAGTCCAAAATTCTTTCCCTTCACTTGTCTCTTCTCAATTTGAATCTTCAAATCCCCCGTGTTCACATTTGCCTTACTACTCGCAAGGATCCAACTCAGTATTTTCTTCCTCCACTCGTCCTTCCAACTTCCTCTTCTCTTTCGTCTCCTCTCATGCTCTAAATCCCGACCTACCCTCATCTCTCGAATTCCCTG